ATACTATTGTGCTATTAGAAATGATGAGCAGGCAGATTTCAGAAAAAACCTGGAAAGACTTGTAGGAACTGATGCACAGTGAAATGAGCAGAACTAGAACATCATACACAGTAATAGCAACATTGTGCAATTATCAACTATGAATAACTAAGCAGTACCAAGATTCAAGACAATCCCAAAGGACTCATGATGGAAAATGTTATCCACATCCAGAGAAAGAACTGATGGAGCCTCAATGCAGATCAAAGCATACTATTTTTGGGGCAGTTAGGTGGCGCAGTGGATAGAGCACCAGCCCTGGAGACTGGAGGACCTGAGTTCATATCTGATCTCAGATTGGACACTTGACATAGACACTTAGCTGTGTGACCCTCGGCAAGTCACTTAACCCCAATTGCCTTGCCAAAAAACAAAAACAAAAAATGTTATGGGGCAGCTAGCTGGCGCAGTGGATAGAGCACCAGCCCTGAAGTCAGGAGGACCTGAGTTCAAATCCAGCCTAAGACACCTAACACTTATTAGTTGTATGACCCTGGATAAGTCACTTAACCCCATTGCCTTGCCAAAAAAAAAAAAGCATACTATTTTTTCACTTTCTATTTTTTTCCTTTGGGTCTGTGTCTTCTTTCACAACATGACTGATATGGAAACATGTTTTACATGATTGCACATATATAACCTATATCAAATTGCTTACTATTTTAGGGAGCAGAGAGGGGAGGGAGGTAAGGAGGTAGAAAAATTTGGAACTCAAAAAAATTTTAAAACGATTGTTAAAAATTGTCTTCACATGTAATTAGAAAAAATGCTATTAAATTTTTAAAAAGAATACTTATCTAAAAGGAGTGGATGGTCAACAGTCGCAAACTCTGCAAAGAGGTCAAGAAGTATGAGGACTGAGAAAAAGCAATTGGATTTAGCAAAAAAGATCACCAGTGATTTTGTAGAAGGCAGTTTCAGTTGAATAGAGGGAATAAAAAGCACATCGCAAAAGATTGAGAAGTGAGTATGAGGAAGTAAAAACAGCAAATGTAAACAGCTTTTTCCTAGGAGTTTTAAATAAAAGAAAAATAAATGTAGTACAGTAGTTTGAAATGGTATGGTCAAGTAATTTTTTTTTTTAAAAGATCAGGGAAATCTGGGCATGCTTGTAGGCATCAGGGAAAGTCAGCGAATAAAGGAGAGGTTGACAGTTACGGAGAGTGAGGAGATGACTAAAGGAATGTCCCCAGAGGGGAGAGATAGGGGCAAAGTTTGAAGATACGAGTAGCGAGTAGCGAGATTAGTTTTTGCAAAAAAGAATGGCTAACTCATTTTTGACACTAGAACAAATGAAGAGAGAATGAGGGATTATCAAGTTTGTAAACTACTTATATAAGATCTCTCCTAAATACAACCAACAAATTCATGTCTCAACCTCCCCCCTCCCAACTCCATGATCCTTATTTATTAGCCAACATATGGAAGCAAAGAGTTGTACAACTGCCCAGTCACCAAATGTGTTTGAGGTGAGTTTTTTTTAGGGTGACAAGGAGTAAAAAAATTCTTAGTTTAAACCAGGGGTTCTTAACCTGGGGCCTGTGAATGTTTTTATTAATATTTCGATAATTCAATATAATTGGTTTCCTTTATAATCCTATTTTATTTTGTGCATTTAAAAATTATTCTGCTATGATTGCACATGTATAGCCTATATCAGATTCCCCGAGGTCTTGGGAAGCGGGGAGCGGAGGGAGAGGGAGAAACTTTAGAACTCAAAATCTTACAGAAGTGAAGGTTGTAAACTAAAAACAAATAAAATTTAAAAATAAAAAGCTTAAAAGAAAAAAAAATCATTCTGAGTCTATGACACAAAAAAAACTTAAGAACCCCCAGGTTAAACTTATAAAATTAATTGGACTGAACTGAGTTAGAAAACCTAGGTTCAAATTGAAGCTGTTACTGAATAACTTAGCAAGTTATTTTCCCTCTCTAAGCTTCCTTTTTTTCATTTGTAAAATGAGGTTGGACAACATGACATTTAAGGTCCTTTCCAGTTCTGACATTCTGTGTTTTTGTTCATGGATAGTCTTTCCTATAGGTTGTTTAGAAGTGAAAACTTAAGTTACAAAATTTCTGTTTTAGGGGCTTGAAAGGTTTACTTACTTGGTCCAAGCAAGGATAAAAAAGATTTCTAGCACTAGTACCTCACTTTTCCAGTGCTACTGTAAGTGGATAACAGTATGGCTCTCATTTTACAGATTAGGAAACTAGAGGCTCAGAGAGGTTAAGTGACTTGCTCTGGGAGTAGGGCTGGATTCACAATCTTTTCCTGACTGAATTTAAGCCTCTCTCTGGTAGGCCAAGATGCATTTCTAGCCTTACCCTGCTAATCACATAGACACATTTGGTAAACACAAGCTCTCCCCTCCTGGTTCTTTCCTTGGTTCTAGTTACTGAGAATCCGGTAAATAGACGTTCCTAAACCCTTTATCTCCTTAACATTGGCTAACAAATAAGGATAATCTTCACTTGTCCCCCTTCCATACTGTGGAAGGTTGGAGAGAAAGGCATGGATTTCTTGGTTGCACTTAAAAGGCAGCTTATAAATGGATATTGTATTTGCAGGCATGCTAAAGAGAAGGATATACAGGTGTCAGTTCTCCATTTGTAAAGCCAAGGAAATTATCTAAGAAATTTTGGCTAAAACAGGGTTATTTTCCTGAATTAAAACACATTTCTATTTCCTCTCAAGTCTACAAAGCACCTTCCTCCTCATAACATGATGAAGGCAGGTAGGACAAGCATCATCTTTATTCTACAGAGGATAAACTGAGGCTCAGAAGTAACCTGCCTAAGGTCACATAAACAGTAACTAGGATGAGAATTCCAGTCTCTGGACTCCAAGTCCAATGCTACAAATCTACTATGGAGATACTTTGACAATGGAAGCAGTTCAATTATTTCACAGAATGTCAGGAAGGGAAAGGATGCCCCTTCAATTAAATAATCATTAAGCACCTACTCTGTGCCAGGTGCTGGGGCACAAAGACAAAAGCCAAACAAGTCCTTGCCCTTGAGGAGCCTTCATTCTACAATTCCACCTCAGTTTACAAAGGAAGTGTTACAAATCAGAATGACTTACTTTAGTAGTTTATAAGATAAGATCTACTCTCAAATCTAGGATTCTTTCTACTATATAACACTGCTCCTAGAATTTAGAGTGGAGCTGAGGGGGAAAAATTGTACAGGCTTGTGAATTTTTTTTTTCTAAGAACTGACCTGAGGCACGATTACAAAAGATTCCAGAAGCTACACAAGAAAAAAATCTCATTTCCAGGAGTCTCATAACTTACAGGCCAGGTTCTATTAAAGTGACAGTGCTCCAGGCACAGTAAAGAGTTTCCACTTCATAGCTAGTGCTCCACTCTTGAGGGCACCAGCTCTTCTTAGCCTGGAAAGTCTTCTGTTCTTCCCCTAAGGTAGACCTATCTGTGTCCAGGAAAAGTGTCCCTAGAGCCTCTGTTCTGGCTCTATTAACTGTCAATCAAGAACACACAGCCAGCACCACTTCCTGCCCCATCCAGAATATTTTAAGAATTTGTTTGTTATTTCATCTCAGAAGCCACAGGGAGGTGTCAGGAATGGTCTGAAGTAACAGCAGGAAATACATGGAAGATCTATATGGAGAATAGCTGTAGCCCAAATCTCCATCCTAGCTGCAGCTCATAGAACTTGCCTATATGCCTGCTTATGTGGAGTTATCTACCTCCAAACTATCAAAGCAGAGGTACCACAATTGTTTGCCCTGTAATCTCAAATACAAAAGTGATTCTAAGCTTCCCCAAACCACTGGAAACCAATATCCTTTCCAACTGGTGCTGATTCTAGCTGAGAAAAGATGAGTTTCTCAATAGCGGGAAGTATTGGGATCAAATGACAATTTTCCTAAACACATTCTTTCTACCATGGTGAGTAAATCAGTGCTAAGCAATAAGTCAAAATCAGGACACAAACTTGTCCAAAGAGGTTTCTTTTAAACTTCTAAATACACTGGACACACCCAGCCTGAAAGACAAAGAGTAGGGGGCATGGATGGGGGGGCGGGGAGGTGGGACACACAAAAATCAAGCTTAGGAATTCATTATTCAACAGGGTACCTTCTGGATCAGTTTAAGGCTACCAAGCTGGAGAAGTAGAGCCTAACTTCTGGGGCTCACGATTAATAATGCTTAGGTACCTGGGGTCAGGACTTAGGCATGCAAAATCACTAATTTCTCATCTGCCAACTCTCTCTACAAAACCTAGTGGCTGCTAGATACTAATGGATAGTGCACTTTAGTCATTGCTCTGGGGAAAAGATGTTACCCATCACATATTTGGGATTTTAAGACCTTGTGGAGGGGGTGTGGGGAAGGAACCCATTCTCCTTAAATGATAAAAGGTCCACTGTTGGAACAGCAACCCCAGGCTAGGAGCACAGTCTGGTCTTTTGCTCTATGGAATGTGTATGTGTGTGTATATGTATGTAGGAGATATGTATTATATATGGTCACTTATAGATTATCTATATAGTTATTTATGGATTATCCTATTTAGTGGATATCCTGAAGCCAAATTTCTTTCAAGTTCCAAAGAAGGGCAAAAAGGTTAACCATAGCAATCTAGGAAATCAAGGGTTAAGAGTCCTATTTTCCAGAAGCACTCCACATCAGGGTCGTAGGCCCTGTGATTTCAGCACCCAGCTAAGGTACATTGACCAAATGAAACTGGCAACTACCTGATGATGCCAGTCCACATATTTGTCCTACAAGTTCCCATTCAACTAAGAGCTAGATACTGTGTTAATAGCATATTAAATGAAAATATGATTAGCAATTTCAGGCTCTGGGGGTAGGGAGTGAATTGTCTGGCTAGATTTTCTTCTGTGTTCACCAAAGTCGTTTCCATTGGGATTTGAAGGTCCCATTTCCTTTGCGGTTCAAATGTATTTGGTTTCCAAACAAAAATCCAGAATGAAATATGTTGGATCAATATATTTATTCCAAGGTGATTTACAATGAAAAATAAAACAATTAAACTTGTGTAAGCCAAACACATGAATTCTTTAATTGTTTTTAACAAAATATACACCCAAAACACCACTCTATGGTGGAAGTAGCCTGAAAGGATGGGAGGTGAAGGGAGGGGCACACATAGGTTCCTGGCACAAGGACAGAGTCTGATCCCAAGATAAGGTTCAGGTCTTCAGCCTCTTCAGTGCAGGATCAGCTGCTAAATGATTTAACACAAAAAGTTACTGGATCACAATACAACGAATGAAAGGCCATTTAAAATCATGTAAGTGACCTCAAAGTGTGTCTGGTCCAGGCGTCGAGCCATGAGCCTTACCGATTTGTTGTCTTCCAAAAAAGGAGTCAGCTAGATTTTCTTCCATGTTTACTGAGGCCATTTCCATACAGGTTTGTGGGTGGACAGGATGGTCTCAAGCACAGGTAATAATCAAGGGATTTGGGGAGATTAACATGCCACAGATCAAGAGAGACAATGAAAAAATGAACTACTCACACTTCATTTCAAATACCACAAAAGCAAAGTCATTCCAGGCCGAATGCTTAAGAACAATTATTCTCCATTTGTCCATGGAGATTTCTCAAGTCAACATGTCTTATGGTATTTCCCAACAGGACATCCATCAATATCCCCAAGGAATGGAACTGGGTAGGAGTACAGCAAAAGAATTTTTTTAGTCAACCCTAGTTCCCTTTCCCCCTGGCAAAGAATCAAATCCAAAATACAACCAAAAACACACCGTGTATTGAGCCAGATAAAATCCATTTTAATGGCAAAGCACGAGAAAAGAAATTGGCAAAAGAATTCACAGGAAAAAAAAATATTCTCTCTTTTTTAAACATCTGTACAGAAGAAGATGCAGTATATGTAGTACTTTTTCAGGAAGGGAGAAGAAAGTATACTTTCTAACTTCAACCAATATTCATTGCAGGATGCCAAGTGCACCATTAAATGGTGTCTCCAAAATGGAGGACCAGTCAGTTCCTGGACCCTCTAAATACCAGAGCTTTAGAAGCCAACACAACTTATTTACAAGTAGCTCTGAAAGTTCTCTCCTCTCCATTTCTAACACTGGTAACACTAGATTTTGTGTGGTTCTAGGTAGCATCAACTGTACCTTCCTCCTGCGTTGGCATTTCCTTAGGGCCTATAGCAGCACTAACAACCCATTCTTTTCCAGGATAACTTAAGGCTGGCATTTCTGCAGCACTCAAAGTGCTGTCTTTGTCCACCTGAGAAAAGGTCTGCATCACAGATGGGGGACTCTGAAACTCAGGCTGTAGTGTGCAAGTATCCAGGCTACTACTCTCTGGTATATCACCTGGTTCGGTGGGTAGAGAACAAAGCTCTTCTTCCTCCTTTTCAGAGACTGACGTTACAAAGCTGACCAGGTCTGGCTGGCAGGCAGATGGCCGAAGGCCTGGAGAGCAGACGGTATCTGACTCCAGTCCTAGTGACCCCTCAGCCTCTAATTTGAAAGTCTCTTCTGTATCCTCAGGCAGCATTCCTTCAGCCTGAAGGTCCAAGGGTTCATGTGCTACTTCCATGTCCTCATCAACAGCTTTCAACACCAGCTGAGTTTTCAAAGTATCAGAATCAGGCATCTTCTCATTTCTGGGCTTAGAGTTTTGTTTATCCTTCATCCCCAAGTCAAGTGCCATGGTTTCAGGAGGTTCAAAAGGAAACTCAGAAAAAGTGGAGGTGAGGTTAGTTGACCCTGTGGAACACAAAAATCTGCCTTCATGTACATTCTCAGAATGCATAGCCAAAGACTCTTGGATTGGTTCTAACTTACCAGTGGAGAAATCAGAAGCTGGATTGCCTATGGCACAAAGTTTCTCTAAATCTGTAGGTTCAAGGCCTTCTACAGGTTTGCTTTCTGTGGCCAGTATTAATTCAGTACTAACAATGGACAAGTCTGAAAATCCTGACTCTTGTCCCTTTGGAACCTCAATGTTCTCAGGTTTCTTGGTCTCCTCTTCCAAAATAGCTGGTTGGCAGGTCATTTTCTTCAGCTCTTCCCCCACTGGTTTGAAGCCTATGATGTTAGGCGTTCTACAAGCTGGTTCAAGGGACTGGTCTTCTTGACATTCTTCACAACCAGATAGCACAGCTTGCTCTTGTGGGCTGCCTGTTAAATAAATGTTTCTCCTGACTACAGATTGGATAGATGATTCTAGGGCAAAATGCTCAACATCTGTTGACTGTGGGGTCTGTGACATAGATCTAGTATCTGACTGAACTGAGTCTGTTCTTATTTCCATAGTGGACTGAGCTTGTGTATGTGGTTCTGTCATTACCTTACCTAGACCTTTCACTTCAGGTACTACCACCATTTCTTCAGGCTGATTAACAATTTGGTCATCCCTTGGCAGGTTGATCTGTTTGGCTTCTAACTTCCATACATAGCTGTCTTCACATTTCAAACTGGAATCCTTCAGGCTATTGGGGTCCCTTTGCACTATGGATAATGAAGTCTGAAGCTCCTCATCCTGGTCACCTATTCTCTCTTTCCCCACACCCTCTGAGAATAATAATCTCCCTTCTTCCAGCTCAGAGGCTGCCTCTACCTCACTTCCACAATGCTCTTCAGCTAGGTGGGGCTCTTGAATCCTTTTAGATTGGTTATCAACCATTCCAAGGTCCCTCATATTTACCAACTTGGCAGGACATGCTCCGTCTGACATTGGGGGGGCTGGCTCCTCTACACCAGGAGGACCTGGCTCTCCTGAGTTGAGGTCAGCTTCCCCCTCCAGACACATGTCTGTATTGGTCTCACTCTCATAAGGACTAGAGGGCAACATGGTTGAAACATTTGCCTCTGGGTTGACTTCCTCCTGGGGCTTACCCTGGTCATCTGCCAGAGAAGCAGAACCAAAGTCCATTCCTAGAGATTGTAGGCAACCTCTATTCTTTAGTCCCAAACTCTGTTCTACAATTGTCCGCTGTTTTGGGGATCCCATAGTCTTTGCAATGGGCTTGGCCAAACAGCTGTCCAAAGGAACACTGGCCAAACTCTTGTCCTGGGACATCCCCCTTAAGAGAATACCACTCTCCCTAGGGATGAAAGAACTATCAGAGTTCTCATTTTTAGAGGAGTTACTACTCTCCCCATTGGACAATGTGCTATTGCCCAGTTTGCTTTCTGGATTCCCTTTACCACCACTGCTGTAGAAGATGTCATACAAATCCTTGGCATTGGCTGTAGCTAAGCATGAGTTCCGCTTCTCCAATTTTTTGGCCTGTTCACTGAATACGCCTGAAAGTGGTGGTGGAGGACGAACCAATACAGACAGCAGCGCCTGGTCATGGTCACTCTCACTCACCCCAGGTGCCACCTCATCTGAAGGGATGGCAGCAGGGTGCACTGGAGCCAAGATGGAAGCTGGCAAGACTGGAGTCAAGAGGTTAGATCCCCCTATTCCGGGGGTCAAGATCTGGGATATGGTAGGAGTTGACTTGACTGGAGACAGTCCAGTGCTTGTCTGGGCAGGTGTTGCAGTAGTGGACTTAAGTGTAACTGGGAGTGGCGGTGGTGGCGGAGGTGGGGGAGGTGGAGGCAATAGCTGCTCAGGTACGGGAGCCGGCTCATTTTTCTCAGCCAACACAGTCTTTTCCTCTGGGGAACTTTTTAAGATCACCTCTTCCCCACCAAATGCCTTAGAGATTATGTCAGGAGGTAGCAGGAGATCGGTTGAAGACTCCTTGACCACTGGTAGAGGTTTGGCAGTGGCACCTGAGGATTTAATAGACAGGAAAGTATTAAGAGGTGCAGGCTTGCTCACTGTAGCTGAGCCAGACTTGCGCAGCACTGTGGTGGGGATAGGAAGGTTAGGCCGGATTTTGGCTTGGGTAGAGGTGGCAACAACAGGCATCCAGGGACTGGTGTGAGCAATGACAGTTTTCCCAGACAGTTTGATCTCAATGGGCTTCACTTTCCCAGCCTGGGCTTTGCCATCCTCTTTGTCCTTGTTGGTTTCCATATTCTCTTCCTTAGGGATGCTTGGGGCTACTGCAGAGCTTTTATCATCGTCCTTTTCTGACTTCTTCCAGCTGAACTTCCCAAAGGAGGAGGATGTCTGCGTCTCCTTTGTTTCTTCTTTCAGCTGGAGTTTTATGGTCATCTTTCGCTTGTTCTCAAGCTTGTCTGGGGAGTTCCAAGTCTCAGAGAGCTGTTCATCTAGTTCTTCTGAAAGCTTTTCTTCATCTTCCTTCATTTCTTTTGCTACCTTTGCCTTCTTCTCATCTGTTTCCTCCTTTGGCTTCTCACTCAGTTTTCGCTTCAGCTCATTTTGCCTTCGGCGCTCAGTCTCTAGGACCACAGCCAGACCTGCCTGACGATCCAGATTCCTTCGCTCCTCATACAGCGGGTTTTCATCCACATATTTCTGGAAAAAGAAAAGGCAGGGGCTCAATGACTAGTTTCGGTTACTAGGAAAATGAGAAAACCTTGGTCCTGACACTGTTTTGAACAATAATGTTACCAGTACAGAAAACCAGAGGTTACCTTTCTAAGGAAGTACACACTCTCTTGACAGGCTCAGTGTCTCTTTCTCTCTGGGGGTTGAGACCTTCCTAGAAGATGTCCCTTTTGATGTGGAGCTTTAAAAAACAAAAAGCTCCAATCTGCAGTCATTATCAGTCAGTGTTACTTGGGTAAAAATGCAACAATGACTTTTTTTGAATTCTGTACGGGTTTTAGTTGGTGGAGTTGGGGTGGCAAAGGAAGTTAGAAAAAAAGGCACTAAAAGAAATGGGGTAATGCACTATGCTACTCAAGAAACCAACCTTATACTTCTCATTGTGCTGGTGACATTTCACGTGTTGTTCTCCAGAAATTGGATCCCCAAAAAACTCCTCACAGAGTTGACAATAATATCCAGTGATGGGAATCAGAAATTCAGAGCCTGGAGCAAGCATATAAAAAGAGTTAAAGAAATGAGCACACAACACCCACCATGATGCCAGCTAAAGGAAATTCCATTTACCCATCCCTGAGTCAACACGGTAAAGAACAAAGCTTTTCACTTACATTAAGTTAGAAATCTTATTCCCTTGAAGCTCTCTCAATGGTTTGTTCTTCTGTCTCAAATTTAAAGCTTGAACATAGGACTTCCCATCCTTCACACCTATGGAAACCTGGGCCTTGCCATCCATCCTGCCAATGCACTCTCTGGAGTGTCTTCCACGCACTACTACATTCTCTGGACTACTGGGCATTGCTATCCACCCTGATGCCGCAGGTTCTTACATTTTTTCCCCCCACTCTTAGAATGTAAGCTCTTTGTGGTAAAAGATTGACTTGCTTTTGTACTTGTTAACACAGTGCTTGGCATATAGAAAATAATAAATTTTTTTCATTCAGTTATCCATCCCCTTACTTTCCACTCTCTGGAATGCTGTTCCACAGGCTAAATCTCTCTTAGAAATCCCTTACAACAGTAAAAATCACTAAATACTTCTAATATAGGCCTATTTAAAAGCAAAGTGTCATCTTAGGGATAGAGGCTTATGTGTCAACTACAAGAGATCTTGGAGAAGAAGCCATGACAGTTCTATCAACCAGGGTTTTAAAAATTTCATTGATTAGATAAAAGCAGCAATCCTAAGGAAATGCTTACAAGTTTTTCTTGCCTTGTTTTCAGGAAGAATGGAGCACATTCTTTTAGCCATTCCCTATTATTCTAGCCTTGTCCTAAGACTGGTTCAGGCTCCTTGGAATCATCATTCTCCTTCTGAACAAAGACTTTATAAAAGCTTCTAAAACCCACCCCACATGCAAGAGAATCAAAACAACTAGCTTTGTCACCTGCTCAATTATGTTGATGCCATTTGTTGATGAGTTCTCAGAAGGCAATTCATGGTCCCTTGATAGATAATTCTGTGGCCAATTCTCTTGGAACCTCAACTACCACTAAGCATCCAAAAACGTTTGCAAACAGTATTACAAGACAGTCAGACCAGAACTACTCATATGAGTTATTCAATGTCAAATTATTAAGTTAAAGTTGTCTATTCATCAGATCCATAGTATGACAAATGGTGATTACTTTTCAACTAGGGAAGATCAAGGACAAAGGAACGTATTTCCCATTAGTCTAAGTTCTTCACTCTCCTAACAACTAATCTAGACCATATTTGATTCTTTCAGAAGTGAAAGTAGTTAAAATGAACTATCATCTCTCTGACTTTTCTAAGTTCACTGAGTTTCAAATAAAGAAAAAAATACTGAATAAGAGAATGGTAAATAAGAGAGCCAATAACTTGAAAGCCTGACCTTGATCATGAGATCACCACTCACCCTACTTCTATCCTTTGTTGTTTCTCTTAGAAGAATCCCAGTGCTGCCTCCCACTATCATAGCCCAAGGAATCCTCTATCAACTGGCTGAAAAATGAGGTAAGTAAAGAAGGGTTCATACCTTTGGCAGGGACAGTTATTTTATCGACGCGCTTTGTGGTGTCTTGCTTGGCCTCACTCTGGATCTTTGAAGCCCAAGGTCTGTTGTAGGGATCCAATGTCTATTTGCAAGAGGCAGAGGTGCTCACACAACAGCACTAATAACTCAAGGATACACCTTTCCTCTCTGTCATTTTCTCTCCCACCTGAGGCCATAAGCCCCAGCAACCCTCCCCCTCCTCCCCATCTGCCAAATGATTAAAACGGAAATCACCTGTGAAAAAGGTAAACAAATGTTAGAGCAAGCAGCCAGCAATGGATGAAGTGAAACTCAAAAAAATTATCAGGTACGCAAGGAATCAAGAGACAAAAGCTCCACTTACACTTATTATGGTGTCTAGGTACAGCCAGGACCCCTGGACTGAGCTCTGGGGATGATGTCTCCTTCGAAGGGGTTGCTTGGCTCTTTGAATTAGGGCTCCTGCCCACATGAGAACTTTTCACTCACCAGACAGTTTGAGATATGGAAGGAGATACAGAGGTTTGAGGGGAAGGGAAGGAAAAGAGGAGAAAGGCCAGGACACCTACCTGTCTATGCTTCTTCTTATGCATGTGAGTAAAGAAATCAAACATGGTGCCACAAATAGTGTTGCAATCTCTACACCAGTGGTTCCCAGCATCATAATATTCATACACAGTAGCCAGCTGGGAAGACTGCTTGGCTGAAGGCTGGGAAGAGGTATCTGTGGGCTTGGGGCTCTTGGCATGAGACTTCTCATTATTCGACTTTGACTCCTACAGGGGGAAAGAAGTTTTTCAAATAGTAAGAGGTCAGAACTTAATCAGCTCCTGCCCTCTCAGAAAAAAGATATAATAACTCCAGCCATGCTAGGGACAATTAAAAGAAAGTATTCCCCACTTCACGTTTAGTAGGGTCCATATGATTATACCTCCAGGATACAAGCTCTACCTATTGATTAGGTCTTCAGGAAAAAGGAGGAAACCTAGAGAAGACTGGCTCTCAGACACAGTCACTGATACTTCACAGTTTCACCTCACCACAAGCACCAAGTCACAGCAGTACCTGAGATAAAATGCACCAAAAGAAACTTTCTTAGAAGTACAGCACTCATTTAATTCCTTCTTTTATAAGTTTAAGAGAAGGCCTAAGCATTGTGCATAGGTAGAACAGGTGATTACCTGCAGACTATGATTTGAAAGGCTCTGAGAATGTCCCTCTACCTCCAAAAGTAAAAATCCCATCAGAGATCCATTCCTTTAGTTTAATTTGTATTTTTTTTAAAAATACAACCCCTCTGGGGCACCTAGGTGGCACAGTGGATAGAGCACCAGTCCTGGAGTCAGAAGGACCTGAGTTCAAATCTGGCCTCAGACACATAACACTCACTAGCTGTGCAACCCTGGGCAAGTCACTTAACCCCATCGCCTAGCCAAAAAAAAAAAATATATATATATATATATAACCCCTCGGGGTAACCCATTAAATCTTCCTTCATAAACTAGTTTTATTGACACATTAAAATATTTTAGTTGAGCGCAAAGCACTAAAGAAATGGAAGGTGGTGTGTGTGTGTGTGGTGGAGATGATACAGAAGTATAATTTGGGATATGGGAGATACACTGCAGAGTGGGCATTATGAGAAAATAGAAAAGGAAAATGTTAGAGATTCAAAGGCAAATGCTAAATATTTTTGCCATTCTGCATGGGAATCACTATACTAAGAACACTAACCTTTAATCAATATACAAAGTTATACAGAAGAGAAATAGTAAGGGAAAAGGACACGGACATGGAAGGAGGTCTTCAATAAGAAGAGGAAAATTAGACTGCAAGATTAGTCCAGAAGCATCAGGTCTACTCATGTCCCTGCCAACTCACACTGAAGACTTACAGACTCTAATGCCAGCCAAGTTGACAGATCATCTCAAAATCTGAGGAAGGTAATAATCATAACCTATGTACCAACTGCAAAGGACCAAGACTTCAGCACTCTTTCCCTTCAGAGCTCCTCTACTCACAATGATGCAGGCAACAGGAACCACAACTCCCTTTAGTTGAGGAAGAAAACTGTGTTAAAAGGACGTGGGGATACTAAAACTCATTCATCCTAGGCCAAACAGGCTAGGAAATGACATAAAACAAAATTATATAGGGCCTGAGTCATTTGGGTATTAAGCTTCAGACAAGGTCATATACAGACTTTCCCTGAAGTCTCCCAAGGTCCAGAGTAACAACTCAAACCAAAAAAAAAAAATTCAAGTAATAAAACCAAGAACAGAAAACTGCCAGTAGAATTCCAGAAACTTATTCTGTAGCCAAACCCAAAAGAGTGGATTCAAGAAAAATAAGTACACTCACTGAAAAGGGTGATTTTAGAAGCTATTATTTTAAAAGGGAAAAAACCTGCTATCTCAACTGGCCAAGAATGTAACTCATGGTTTTCTGCACACTGCTCCAATCTCAGTTAGGGACCACACCACCTCCAGGCTGATGCTTCTTTCTCAACCATTAACATAAGGTACCACCACATGCTAGGAAAACATTTATCAACTCCCATAAGTTCTGGGGAAATAAGAGAGCTGATAACACACAAGTGATTGTATTTGAGAAGTACACACACACACCCTGCTCTTCCAGGCCCTGACCTAGGTCTAGATGATTAGGCCTGATGAGCCCCAAGACTCTCTCCTCCTCATCAATATCTGAGTTCAGACATTACCTTGCTAGAGGAAGAAGAGGAGGAAGAGGAGGAGGAGGAAGAGTTGTTAGAGGATGGAGACACTTTTTCTGGGCTCTTGGATTTCTCAGCTTTCCCAGACTTCTCTGATGACTCTTTGCTATCATTAGAAGGCTTTTGGGTTTTATCAAAGATGTTGATCCCCAGGATCTGAGCCACCTTGTCCAGCTCAGACTGTTTCTTTTCTGCTGCCTCTGCCTCACGTCGCAGCTCTGCCATGTCCTTCATGATGTTGTCCTGCAGTCGGCTCACCTCCACCAGAAGTGGGTCTTTGTGGCCATCTTTCTCCCGCCGTTTCTTACGGAGCATCTCTCCTGGTGACATAGCAGCAGAAAGCATCATATGGCAAGTTAGTTAAGAGCATAAGCTATTATTTCAATTTCAATGGGAAGAAAAAAAAAACTACTAGAACAGGCTGTATACTTTTTTTCCCCAAGGTTTTTAAGAGCAGAATAGGTAGTCATTTGTTTTAAGTAAAGCCTAACTGGAGACAGATGAAGGAACTACATAATCTCTGATGGCCTTTTCTATTCCATGACTACATCTGATGATGATGATGATGATGACGATAATGACGATGATGACGATGATGATAATGATAACTCAATCTAGAATTCCTCCCGAGACTGGATGGTCTGAAATAGGATAGCTAAATTGGCCTTTAAACCAGAAAAGTTTTCTTGCTCATGTCTCATTTAACTTGATTCAGAGGGCCATTTTGGTTTTCCTAGTCCAATTGGAAATCAACCACAAAAGTCCAGATTCTCTCCCTTTCCTACTACATTTTTTAGGCCTAGAAATAGCTTTCTTTTCCCAATCACTCAGGTATATTTCTTTACTCATACGAGACTGGTTCTTACAGAGGTAATGAGCCTCCTCTATTCTTATTTGGTCACTTATTCCAGACCCAGACAGGGATAGTAAGAACCTCTCTGAAACTCTTACCCACTCTTCTCCCACATAGCTGTAACAATGAAACTGTCAGATCCCAGTACTAATGTTAGAGCAAGAGGCCCTACCTCTCCTATATGGCTAGGAATTCAAGTTTCTAAGGCAGTAAAGTAAGGAATAATTGTATAACTCAGGCCTCAGGGGCAACAAATCCATTATCCTAGACTCTCCCTAAATGCTCTCCAATTGGCTTTCCTCTTCACACTGGGATAAGGGCCTGGCTCACAGGAACAGCTTCATTGTAGGGCAAGGAGCAATACCTTGCTGCTTATGAAGCCGATCCAGCTCAGTCCTGAGATAGTACATCTTCTTCTGCCGTGCATCCCGGTCACTCCTCAGTTTTTCCCTCTCTTCTATAACCTGTAAGGTACAGAAGTGTATGGTGCTTCCTCTCACTTCCAGCAACAGACTCCATCTATATTACTAACATCCCTTCCCCAAAAGTTCTCATACTTGACAATCTCAAAGAGATGAATATGCTTAGAGTTGAGCCTAGTATCTTTGGGCTCATACCTGAATTAATTTTTATTCTAATAAAGTGGTCAGAAAAAAACTCATACCTTCCTCTTCCCTCCTCTCTCCAGACTTGTCTATTCAGTCAGCTACACTATTTGAGGAAGTACCAGATTACTCTCAGTAAGTCTCTTTCTAAGTTAGGAAGTTAGATCCAATAGAATTCCACTTGAAGGGCATGGCAGATGGTGTTTCTGGGCCAAGAGAACAGACCAATGGGTTTGAATGATTTCTGAACTTCAGAGATCAAAGTGAAGTCCTTGCATTCATTGGCCCTGGGTTTAGGGCTTATACACAGGACCGTGGGAAAAGAATCAGTCACTAAAAGTTGGCTCTGAGTTTTTTTAGGTTCTGTCTCTAATAGAAGCCACCAGCCTCCATTTCAAGAGCCAAAGAATATAGATGAACAACAGTAGACATTTATATAGCCATTTAAGTATTGCAAAGCACTTTACAAATATCTTGTTTGATTCTCCCAACAATACTATGAAGTTCTACAGCTATCATCTCAGTTTTACCCATGATACAACTGAGGCTGAGAGAGATGTAAATGATTTGGAAGAGTCAACAGCTAGGGTCTGAGACCAAATTTACACTCAGGTCTTCCTGATTTCCTAATTCCAAATCTAGTACTTTATCTACTACACCACTACCTAGCTGTCTCCACCTAGCTTATAGTACCTAGGCACAGAAATGTAAAGGCCCTAAAAAAAAAAAGGGGTGGGGGGGAACACTCTGATTTTCTGTTCTTTTTCCAATGTTTCCATATCTCAAAATGTACAAAATTTTAAAAAAACTTTATATATATCCATACGTACATATGTGTTCCTAACCTAACAAAATTATTTTAGATCCATAAAGATCTGTAAAGGGCATTCAAATTGTGTTGCATGTATTTCAGTTATCCTAAATATTTATAATCTCTAAGTGCCCTCCCCCCAACAAAAATAAGCAAGGCAAAAACCAAAACAAAACAAAAAACTTCCTCCAAAAACAAAATGCTGAAAAGTTTCTTCCATGGCTTCAAATTTCCTGAGGTTTTCCACATCTCTACAATTGTCCCACAGACTGCGAATACAAAGGGTCGTTATCAAATAAGAATGTATATAAAAGTACTTTGCAAACTTTAAAGAGCTATCCAAATGTGAAGTACCATTATGAAGCCACCACTCCTGGTACTTTACTCCCTGTAAGGACAGCTAGAAAAAGCTCAAATAGCAGAGCTTATGTTTCCCAAGCCACATCTATTTTCTATTATCACTGTTCAAAACTCAGTAGAATAAAACACAACTGCCCACCCCCTTAGCCAGAAAGCTTTTGATAAAGCCATTACTATTTAAGACTTCCACTCCAAAACACTCTGCATTCAATACCACAAAAGCCCAATAATGTGAATGGAGACCTTGACAAGGCAGTTAGAACCGAAGTTGAAAAGACAACTGTCCTCCCAAGGTTGGACCCAGAATCACACCCTGGAAGAACCATTCACTCTAAGGAGTAATATATAAGGAAACCTGGGGGGACAGGCACACTTGCCTGGGAGAGGATTGTAATTCTGCAGCATCTGAAGAAACCAGTGCCTGACCACAACTCCCATCCCCAGAAGAAAACAAAAACAAACTTGGTGTCCCTGAGCTGCCCACCATGGCTTAAAACAAAGGACCCAAGTTCACCATATTCAACCACAAGGCTAATCTTCACCTTCTGCTTCTGAGAAGCCCGGTTCTTCTCATCCGAGATCTTTTCTGGATTGTATCTCATGAGTGGTGGAATGGGTAGTCGAACGGGCACCTTGGTAGAATTGTTGATGACAGGGATGGGAACTAGCAGTGATTCATCCCTCTTGGCTTCAGCAGAGGTCACAGTGGGGATTACACGAAGGTTGGGGCGGCTAGGGGTGACTTGTTTAGTAATAGGCATAAGTCTGTGGGGATCAGTCAGTGGATGGCCAGGTTGCTGGGGAGAAGGGTACATGGGCCAAGCAGAGACTGCATATGCCATGTAGTGTCTATACGCATCAAAGGTGGAAGGAGGCATAGCAGGTGTCTGGTAGTTTGGTGGGATTGGAGCTGCAGAGAACTGAGTATTAGTAGGAATCTGAAACTGGGTCACAGAAGACGTACAGTGTGGGAGTCTAATGGGGGGAGCTGGGGCTGAGGGAATTAGACATCTGATGGCAGATGACCGGGGCCCACTGCCAGCCACTTCTGGTCCTGGGATCTGGCTCATGGGGTGGTCAGACTTGAGAAATGGGGGACTGTTCTTCGCCCTCAGATAAGGATCCACAGGAGAGGCTGCATGTGGCCGGGACACCTCAGGGGAACGAGTATCACTCCGCCGTGCCTCCCTGCTTTCCAGCCTATGGGAGTCTGAAGAACTTCTATCAGATAAAGACCGTCGATCTACTGAACGTCGATCGACTGAGGAGTGTGAGGACAGCTTCTTTCCGTGGAGTCTTTCCTGGGTGCGCACAGCCAGCTTGCTGATCTCTGCCACCCCAATATCCAGCCCTATGGTCTTCAGCAAGTTATGGATTTTGGCATATTCTGGATTGGTTTCCTCTCGAGCATCCAGTTTCAGAGCTGATGATGGGGAGGGAGAGGAGCTTGCTCTCTCTCTCCGAGCTTCATTCCCAAGACTTCCAAGGGATTCTGGTGGGGATTCTGGCTTCAAATCCTCTTCTTCATTCCCATAGAGAAACTTTTCCTCATCCTCTATGTCTGGGAAGCTACGTCGCCTCTTTTCTTGGGCACTGGTAGGGTCTGCCAACATACCCAGAATTCGGGAAAAACCACTGCCGTCTTGGCTGGCTCTCTCATGGGGTAACAAGAAATCTGTGTGCCGCTCACCAGTCTCAGCCTTCCCATCTATTTTCTCCTTGTGGCTTAGAAAACTCCCAAACTTCTCTCTGAGGGGGCTAGTATCCTTAGACAGCCCAGAAAGAGGACCCCACTGATAGGATTCTTGGGGTTCCTTCAATAGAGTCTCTGTCATGACTCCTTTGTTGTTTTCAACTTCTGAAGTAAAAGGGCCTGTAGCACTGCTTGGAGGAAGAGATGGGTGGCCAGAGAGAAGAGGAAGTTCTTGGCTAGAGTTGGTACTGCTGGAATAACTCTCCATCTGCAAAGAAAAATACCATTAATTTAGCCCCCAAGTAGATCCATAGCAGGATCCTATTTAAAATGCATTTGTTCAACTATAACACTGTAAAAGTAACAGTTTCATATACAATTCTCTTTATATTCTTTTTAAATAGAAACGCTCTCCAAAGAAAGAACTATGGAGTTTGAATGCAGATTGAATCATACTATTTGGCATTCTCTTTCTTTTGGTTTTGTTTTGTTTTGTTTCTTCTTTCCTGTGGTTCCTCCTATTGGTTCTAATTCTTCTTCACATCATGACTAATGTGAAAATATGTTCAATAGGAAAGTATATGTAGAGCCTATATTAGATTGAATGCCATCTTGGGAAGGGAGGTAGGGAGGGAGGGTAAGAAAATTTAAAACTCAAAAGCTTATTTATGGAAGTGATTGTTGAAAACTACAAATAAATTAATTAAAAATAAACAAACAAAAAAAAGCAGACAGCCCTGAAGAGAACTGAAGTTTATGTACCAACATAAATTACAGAAGATGAGGTTATATAAAAATTGATAAAATGCTTAAAATTGAAAAAAAAAAATAGAAATGCTCATGCTCAGAGTTCATTTGTCAAGAATAATAAATAACAAAATCAAAACCAAAAAATAAAATGCATTTGCTCTTACTGAGTCAGTTGGAGAAGTTATACTTATAGATGAAAAAAAATTATCCTTAGGCAGGTGGTGGGTGGGGGGACAGGGAGGGAAGAGAAGAAGGTGTTCTGGGAAGGGAAAACAAGGAACAGAGTAGATTGGTCCTGGGCTCACAGGACTATACCCAGTCTTGCAGACCTGACAGGTCCCCTGTTAGTTCTCTCTATCAACTACTTGTAGGTCCTCTTACAAATAGAAAGAGCTAGGTGCTTAATTACTGATATGCTATTAGCACCACAGATCCCTAGGAGTGACCGGTATAGAATACCTCCTATTTAAGAAAACCTTCGCATCTATCAATATATACACTTTGGCTGAATAGTATAACAAACACAGTAAAAGGAGCTCAGGTGAGCCCTTTAGGAGAGTACCCAAACAAAAACAAAACCAAAAGTACCCAAACAAAAACCAAAACAAAATTTAACAATAAGAAAAAAATGTACCCAGACTGACTCAGGGGAAAGGAGGGACTGGGCACATGAAAAAGAGAAATAGGATTCAGACCTGCAAGGAAGGTTCCACATCTACTTCTACTCGCTTCTTCAAAATGGACTTCTTGGGCATCATAGGCACATCCTCTGGTCGATGCACTGTATATGCTGGCTCTGACCCTGATACTCCAGAGATGGTACAACTGCTGCTGCTGCTGCTATCTACCCCAACCAAATCCTGACCCAAGCTCCTATTTCGTTCTTCCTCTTCCTCTCGTTTTCTCCTGGCAAGGTCTAGCTCCCGGAACTCAGGGTCCATGAAGCGGGAGTTTGGGCTATGCCTTCGCTGTCGATAGTTTCGAGCACCTGAGACATAGTTAGAGTGGTCCCCACCCAAACTATGTAGCTTCTCACTGTCATCATAACGGGACCGTTTGGCTTCCCGGCTTCTTTCCTCAGATCTAACGGAGTAGGAGACCTTGAGTTTGTCTCTGTCTCGAAGGAGATCATCATGACGGCTAACATGGGGGTTATAGTCAGACCTATGGAGGAAGGCCTCTCTTGTCCTGTAGTCCTCGTCCAGCCGCCCCAGAAAAGGGCTAAGAGGCCCTTCTTCCCGAGTAGTGTAGCGCTCAAGGCCCCGAGAGCACTGGGAACTATGTGTGAAGATAGGACCATCAGCCAGGTCATCCCTGAAGAAAACAGAGAGGAATCACTGGATATATGGATTTCAAGACAGTAAGGGCAGAAAAGATTAAAGACAGATGCTTCTGGGACTACTCAGAGCATTCTAAAAGACAATATAACATTACAAGAAGGTAAAAAATAGTTAAGAACACATATCTGGTGCCATGGAATAGCCATTTTAAGAAAAATTAGCTACTCAGTGATTTCCACTGGCATCAACATCAGTTTCCCAGGAGCATTTAAATGTCTCATTTATGCACCATACTGCAGGCTTCCAAGTTTCAAAGATCCTCTGGCCTCTCCTGTCAGCTTTCTTCTGCCCTATTTGAATGCCCATAAAGCAGTAGGCTACTCTTCGGATGAGGATAGATTAAGTGATATTCTGGCTCATCACATTTTTACCTCAAAGAAGTAAAAAGGTAAAGGGAGTTTCAAGTATGGAGGAAACAGAAACTGGATTAAACCTCTGTCCTGTCTATATCCCTGCTTCTGGTTACAAAGCAAAGGTAACCTCTCTAACCTACTCTGGGAATCCCCGAAAGCACGCATCACACAAAGCGTTCTTTCCTCAGTACTAACACACACTTCCTAAAGAGGTTGTCAAATACCTCAAACATCAAATGTCACACTACTATAAGCTTTCAATAGGACTACCTAGGTCAGGACAGATTTCCAATGACAGCTTACATTTAAAGAAGGGAAGAGTCTTTTGAGGTAAGGAGCAAATACAAAGATCTTCTGGCACTTCAAGAGCATGAAACTTTTTAGAAATCTGCATTAAAAAAAAAAAAACACAAAAAATAAAGTGCTTACCTCTCACTCAGATCCAAAGGGACACTATCCTAAACTTAGGATGACCATTATTGGTCTCTTCTGCAGTTTCTACTACTGATTTTTTATTTACTAGGCAAGATTTCCTCTACAGGTCTAGACCTGAATAACATTTAACAACCCTATGAAAAGCTGTCCAGGATAAAGTTTATCTTTCCAGAAGAGGCTGAAAATAAAACTGCTACCAGGGAAGAAATGTTCCTATTACCACCTCTTCCCTGTGTTGGGGAAGGTGGAAGGTATAGTAGGTGTTATAAATCCCAGTGTAGGATATGGATTTGGCAAACTCATTTGTGCTGCCAAAGCTAGATCCTAGTCAGATCCAGAATACGTGATGGTGCTATGCAATTACCAAATAATGTAGACTCTTAGTGCCTAATCCTATTACAGAATCTCAGAGTCGGAAGGAATTTCAAAAGTTCTTTAGTCCAACTCATACCTAAATAGTAATTCGTTCTACAACATTCCTAAGAAAGGGACAGCCAGCCTTCCTCCGAATATCTTCAGTGGTAAAGGAAGCTATTTCTTGGAAGAGGTATCAGCATAAAGTATTGTCAATCTAGATGAAGAAAGGTAATTCCCAGAAAGCCGGAATCCTGTCATAAGATCTCAGATTTCATCTCAACAAGAAGTGAAGGGGTACTGGAAGGAGTAAGATGTTAAAAAACACACATACCAAAATTAGATCATTCAGAAACTTACAAGTCTCCTTTCCCAAACAAGGCTCAATGAGCCAAGTAACCTCAAAGGAAGACAGTGATCATAAAGTCTCAGAAAGCTCTAAAAAATTTTTTTAGCTCTTGCTGTCAGGCCCAGTTCTGGAAAGGGTACCTTTTGCAAGGTTTGGCTGGGTCTGGCTATTAGAAAAATAGTCTAGTTGGGACTCCACATTCTTTACTGCTGATTGCCTACGGCACTCTAGGAAATTCCTTTCTCCAAGCCTGGCAAAAGCAAGGAAAAAAAAACTGGCTCTAACCTACTCTGAAGGAAGAAGAATGAAAATTAAGCACGAGAGATACTGAAATAAGTTCTATGAATGCAAGTTGTTGCATTGGAGGTATCATGACAGCAGAGAATTCCTGTATAACCAGACCGGTTCCCCCATAGCCAATGCATTCATTCACCTAACACATGTTGTTACAGATTTTTTCCACATAACCAATTAGAGCACACATGCCAAGAAGAGGTTGTTATCCTAAACAGAAATGTACTCAGCAGAGCAGAAATGACCATCCAGGTAAACTATCCTGACATGAAATTCAAAGCCTTTCACAACCTAGCCTGAACTTATTTTCTAGGCTCACTATACGTTACTCTCCTTTCCAAATCTCTGTGCATTACTATTCAGCCAAACTCAACTTCTCTTCGTTTTACACACAAAGTACTCTTTCTCTAATATCCACACCTTTGCACTGGCCATCCTCTATGCCTGAAATGTTTCCTTCTTACATCCAACTCTTAAAATCCCTCCCTTCCTTCAAGATGATGTTCAAGCTTCACTTTCTGAAAGCCTTTCCTGATCTTTCCCCCACTGCCAGTACTCTCCCTAACTACTTTGGTATTTATTCTGTATATACTTTCATATGTATGTGTTGCTTCCTTGCACAGAATGTAAGCACTTTAAGAATAGGTTTTTTTTTTCCTTTGTATCCCTGGCAAATTTCAGGGATTTAATACTAGCTGATTGATGAGTTATTTGTAAATTTGTAAATAATTCATTTACACACAAGAGTTGGGGAGGATAGGGGCAACTAGGTGGCACAGTGGATAGAGCACCGGCCCTGAAGTCAGGAGGACCTGAGTTCAAATCCAGCCTCAGACCAAACACTTGACACTTACTAGCTGTGTGACCCTGGGCAAGTCACTTAACCCCAATTGCCTTAAAAAAAAAAAAGAGTTGGGGAGGATAGCTCCTCTCTTACCACCATCACCAGCTGAAAATTGGCTCACTGTCAAAGGATGTTCCAAAGATAATACAAGCCTTGGTAGACACTCTCAAGGAGCAAAGACTAACACAAACTGAAGAGGAAAAAGAGTCACAACTATGTAAAAATATGGGTGTGATAGGGGGTAGAAAAGGATAAAGAAGAGCCTTGTGGAACTTCTTGTACTTTTCCTCTTTCTCTAAAAAGCAGCACCAAATTTACTTATTTTAAAAAAACAGGTCCTTCGATTAGTACATTATAATGGAAGGATGATATTCTGGTGAGCAATAAAATCACAAATCACCTCCAGTACACACAGTATATAAAAGAATCACCACATCAGCTTACCTAAGCTGACCTCTTACTTTCTGAAACAGAAGTAGCTGGGAAAAGTGGATATAAATGTTTTCTATGTATGGCTTATTCATATACACTGAAGCCATGACTCCAGACCAAAGGCTTCAAAGCTACAGAGCCATGTACATTTTTTTACCTTCTCTCATTTTAGTTTGCCCACTTCAAGTAATATTTTGAGGTGAATGCTATTTAGGGGCAATTATGTTGCTCTCATTCTTGCTTCATATTTGTGTCCAATGCCCTCCTCTTCCCTTCATGTGCTCTAAGCATTAATGCACAGATACATTCTCCATCTGAGAGCAAATTCACACTTACTGCCAAACAATTTGTACACTTTCCACAATGTGCTGGGAATGGACCAAAACAGACACTGTCACAATCCTCAAGCTTATATAATTCAAGGGAAGTTGGGAAAAGCAAGCTCCAAAATGGTTACTTTCCTTGTATAATTGTAGCCCTTTTCCTGCAGACTTGGGAACCAATGCCAAGTCTAAATTTAGTTCTCTCCAAAATATATTTCCTTTTCTTTGACACCTAATAGTTTCAGTACAGTTCCTTATATACTTAAAATGTCAAGTTTTCATGTCATGTTGATGTAAAAATTTTCCTCAATATGCTATCTTTTATTTTCTTTTAATTATCTGTTATAAAAATTTACTTTGATATAACCAAGCACAATGTTAACTCTATCCATAAAAGATAAAAGCCAAAGGATTTCAAAAGAAACACATTGTTAACAATCAGTTTTTAATATTGCTCAATCCCACTAAAAGTCAAAGAAATTAAAATTAAAACAACTTTGAGGTACCACTTCATAACCATTCACATTGGCAAGAATTAAAAGCAATAAAATTCAATGTTGTAGAGAAAAAAGCACACTTAGTGCCAATGAAATTGCAAACTTGTAGAATCTTTTTGGAGAGAAATTGAAAGTACACAGTAAAAGTTATTTTTATCCCAGTAATACCACTGTTGGGGATATACCCTGAAAGTGTTATCAAAAGCAAAAAAAGAGCTATCTGTTAAAAGATTTTCATAGTAGAATTATATGTAATTAAAATTAAAAATTAATTAAAAAAACCAACCTAAATGTTCCAAAGTAAAGGAATGGCTAAAAGATGGCAGGCTGATAAAATGGAATAATAAAATGCAATTAAGATCAATAAGCATCTGAAATAAAAGGAAATCTGCAAAGGTCTACAAAGGCCTAAATAATGAAAAGTGAAAAAAGGAGAACCAAAAGAATGGACCTCACACAATGATCATATTAGGAAAAGTTAATGAGAATTAAGGAACTAAGAATTCTAACAGAGCAACAGAAACAATGGTGATATTTCTTCAATAAAATTAATTTAAATGCAAAGTTATTAAGCTAGTTTATTTGAATTGCTGCTCAATGTTCAGTTTTTAATAAAACATTTAGTTGCGGCAATATTAGAATTTAATGTCTTAATGGGTCAGATCAATCATGTCTAAATTATGTCTGCATCTAAAGGTGGCACCAATAACCAATGGACTGGAGGACAGCTACCATGCATTCCCATTTTATCATCATCAGTAAGTTAAAGATGAACTCTTAATATCTAACTTCCCTTTAAATGTGCTATGATTTTTACCCATTGATTTAACCTCTTATGAATCTATATTCTCAGCTTATATGTTTAGTCCAAAAACTTTTTAAGAAGGGCACTTTAGTTCAATATTCCAGGACTTGTTGAATAATGATATATTTAGTCACATTATCCAATACTTTCCTAAAATTATAGACTTTGATCATATTCGATCAATCTTCCCCCTTCCAAATTTTTACCCAAATAGATTTATCAGGCAGTATAGTCTTTATCAGTATCCTTCCTTCCTGGAAGCCTTCCAACCCTCAAGGCCTTTTCCCCTATCACACTCTGTGCTGGACTTGGGTGCAAAATTTCAGTGCCAATACCCAATACTTCAAACATAAGAACTTCAGCAATTAAGAGCCTCAATTAGAAGCCGCTACCATTACCCTTAGCCTTAGGAGAATCCTACCTGTCTATGTCACCCAAATTATCCACTGGAGACCCCAATCGATCATTAAGCCTCCGGGGGTCAGGTGAGCCAAGGCAAAATCGGTCGTTGCCAACAGTGATCCGCAAGCTTTGTTCCACTGAAGATTCAGACCGGAGCCCAGGAGATCGCCTCTGCAGGGATAAAACACAAAGGTAGGTTCCCTGAATTTTGACAGAAACAGAGTATGGGATCACAGAGGTTAAAAATCAAAGAATAAAGTCGAAAGTACCAAGAAAAAATCTCCCATTTTCCAGGAAGCACTATTTTCAGAATAAGAAAAAAATCACTGTATGATGTTTCCTTAACCCCAAGTACTTTCAAGAACGTTTCCTTGAAGGTAGGATATATCCCCCTCCACCTTCCCAAAGTGTCTCCCCTTTTCCTCTCCCCTGACCTTGACACCATACTCTTACTCTTTTATGACAGAAATAGTACATTCATCCATGAGCAAAAATCCAGGGAACCCTGCTCATGTCCTTTCACACCTACATCATCTCACAGAACCACTCAAGGAAATGGAAATTCTGTCACTGGGATTCAAGACAGATCTCTCAGAATAAAGGTCTATTGCTCAGCAAGCAAAACTCAAAAGGGGAGGGGGAAAAGAAGAAAGGAAGGAAGAGAGGGAAGAGAGACAACGTTTTGTCCAGGATAATCTTTCCCCTCACACCCTTTCTGCTCCCTCTTTCCCCCCTCTGAATAGGGCCAATTTCATTTCAGAGAAAGGGAAAAGGCTCCACTTTTCCCTTTTCTGCTGGGAAGCCTGGCACGACAAGGGCTGTATTTCCCAAGCCCCGGGGGGTGGCTGAAGCCCCAAATGACTGCAGTGTCGCAGGTCTCCGAGGCAGGATTGCTCAGGAAAATAAACCACTGCACTGCCATTACCCAGGCCCTATAGACGAATGACATGTAAGGGGGCTTTCGGAAAAAAAGAAAACGGGCAGGTGGGGGTAGGTGTGGGGCTAAATCTTCCTACGTATCTCACCCAGAGCCTGGGAAAACACACTGCTCCATCACCACAAGGGCTCCCGACTCCCGTTATCCCTCAGGGAAGACCCCGTTATTCGGTAACGCTTTCTACGGGGCCGGCTAGGCCCGGAAGGGTGTCTACACTGCCTCTGTCCGGGCTCAGGCCCGGGAGGCGCCGAAGGCGCGGGGGTCCTGCCTGCTCTGGGCCCAGCCCGAGGGCGGCGGGGCACGGGGGTGGATTACCCGGCTGCCGCTGTCCCCCGGATGGTCCCCGCGGCCGTCCCGGGAGAAGTCGGAGCGGGAGCACGAGCGGCTGCTGCCGCGGAAGCCGCCGGAGCCCGACGGGAAGAGGCGTCGGGGCCGGGTCGGAGAAGGCGAGGCCCGGCGAGAGCAGGGCGGGGAGCCCCGGCGGCCCCGCGGCGGGCTCGGGGACCCGCGGCGGCTCCAGGGAGGAGACGGAGAGCCGCGCCGGCGGCCGCGGAGAGAATGTGGCGGCGGCGGGGACGGGGAGCCGTGGCGGCCGCGGTGGCCCGAGGGGGAGCGGGGCCGGCGGCCCGGGGCCCGGGAGGAGGCCGAGGACGAGGAGGAGGAGGCGGGCGGCGGGGAGGCGCGGCGGACCGGCCCGGTGGAAGAGGAGGAGGAGCCGGCGCTGCGGCTGGTGCGGGAGCCGCCGCCGCCGCCCTCCTTGGGCCGATGCGAGGACACCGACGAGCGGCCGCCGCTGCGGTACATGGCGCCGGCGAGGGCGGCACGGGCCCGGCCCCGAGAGGGAGGCCGAGACCGCTCCGACTCCGCGGTGCCCTGGAAACCAGCGCCGCCGCGCGCGCGCGCGCGCCCCCGCCCCCGCCGCCGCCTCAGGGGCCCCCGCGGGGGGCCGGCCGAGCACGCCGCCGGGTCGTTGGGGCGAGCCCGCGACACGCCTCCTTCCTCTTCGCCTTCCCTCCCACCCGCGTCTCCGCGGGGATTAGTGGGGGGGCGGGAGCAGCGGAGCCGGAGGAGGGAGAAAAGGCGGGAGGCGGGACTGAAGGGCGAGAGCTGACGCGAACGCCGCTACCCCGCCAAGATGGCGGCCGCTTGCCCCGCCTCTCGGGGTCGCGTGACTCTTCCGCTCGCTGGCCCCAGATTTGAGGGGACGGGGGAGGAGCTGAAGGAGGCGGGGTTGGGGAAAAGGAGGAAAGAGAAGAGAGAAATGGGTGGGGCCGGGCACCTAAGGGTGGGGCCGTCCCCGCCCTCCCCTCTGGGTGGTCCTCCTACTAAGCCTTCCCTGTGGGAAAAAAACACTTGGGGGTCAAAGTCATAAGATCTCACGCTTCTATGTGTTCCCTGCACACAGTAGGCCCATCCTACTACAAATGCATTTTAAAAATTTTTTTAAATTATTTTTATGCTTTTAAAAATATAAAATTTTAATATAAATTTTTGGTTAAGTTAAATTAGGAGATCATGGTCATGCAGTCATAGATTTAAGGCAGTAGCTTTCAACCTTTTTTGACATCATAGTGAAGGGTATGGGACCCTTTCTTACAATGTTTTTATACAATAAATAGGATTATAAAGGAAACCAATAATATTGAAAAATATTTATCAATGGAGGAATGTGGAAAAATTGGGACACTAATGCAGTTAGTGAAGTTATGAATTGATCCAGTCATTCTGAAGAACAGTTTGGAACTCTGCCCAAAGGGCTAGAAGATGTCCATTAGAATTTAACCCAGCAATGCCCCTACTAGGTCCATATGCCAAAGACAGCAAAGGGGAAAGGACCTGTTTGTACAAAAATATTTATAGCAGCTCTTTTTGTGGTGGCAAAGAATTAGAAATTGAGAGGACACTCATTGATTGGGGAATGGCTGAACAAGTTGTGGCATATGATTGTGATGGAATATCACTGTGCTATAAGAAATAATGAGCAGGATGGTTTCAGAAAGACCTGGGAAGACTTATGTGAACTGATGCAGAGTGAAGTAAGCAGAACCAGAACACTGGACATAGTAACAGCAATATTGTAATATTGTAAACAATATTGTGAAAGTCTTAACTACTCAGATCAAGACAGTGATCCAAGACAATTCCATATATCTTTTTAAAAATTAATTTTTAATTTTCCTCAATTACATGTAAAACAATTTTTAACATTCATTTTTTAAAAATTTTACTTCCAAATTCTCTCCCTCCCTCCTTCCTTCCTCTTCCTCTTTCCCTCCACTCCCCTGTATCTTCCCCTCCCCCCCTCCTTGAGAAGGCTAGCAAGATCCAAGACAATTCTAAAGGACTCAAGATGAAACATACTATACATCACCAGAGAGAACTGATGAAGCCTGAGTGACGACTGAAGTATAATTTTTCTTTAAATTTTCTTTAAAAAAAAAAATTATCAAAATATTTTTTTAAAGCAAGTTCACAGACATCTCCTCCCCCAGGTCAAGAATCCTGACCTAGGGTTTCAAGGAACCTCAAGAGGCATGTAGTTCCAACCTTCTCATTTTACAAGTAGGTCAGTTAGTTGACTAGCATTTCTTAAGAGCCTGTTTACACTTCCTAGCTGCGCAACTCTGGGCATTTAACCCTGTTTGCCTCAGTTTCCTCATCTGTAAAATGAGCTAGAGAAGGAAATGACAAACCACTCCAGTAGTTTTGCCAAGAAAACCCCAAATGAAGTCATGAGTCCATCAGAAACGACTGAAATGACCAAAACTATGTGTCAGGCAATGTGCAAAGTGCTGAGAATACAAAGAAATGAAAAAGTCCATGCTTGCAAGGAGCAATCATGTAAACAGCTATCTGTACAAACAAGGATTAATAAGGAAAGCACTAAGTATAAGGGGGTGAGACTTTAGAGTGAGACCTCAAGGAAAAGGGGGTGGGGATGAGGAGGGAGAGGGTTCCAAATATGTGGAACACTCAGGGAGATAGAGAGTTATGTTTGAGGAACAGCAAAGGGGCCCAGCTTCACTGGATTACTTCATAGGTGAAGGGACAGTAAGGTGGACTGGAAAGGTAGGAAGGGGCCAGGTTATGAAGGGCTTTAAAAACCTAACAGGATTTCATATTTTATCTTGGAGGTAATAGGAAACCACTGGAGTTTATTGAATAAGCAGTGTGGCATAGTCAGACTTGCACTTTATATTTTAGGAGGATCATTTTGGTTGCTGAGTAGAAGGAAAGGGAATAAACATTTATTAAGCGCTAACTATGTACCAGCCACTGTGTTAAGCATTTTTACAAATATTATCTTATTTGATCCTCACAACCACTCTGAGAGGTAGATGCTATTATTACCCCCATTTTACAGATGAAGTAACTGAGGTTTACATGACTTGCCTATGGTTAGAAAGCATCTGAAGCCAAATTTGAACTCAGGTCTTCCTCAGTGCTCTATTCACTGCACCACCCATCTGCCTCTTAGCTGTGATGAATAGACTGGAGTGGGGAGGGACTTAAGGAAGGAGACCACCCAGAAGGCTATTGCAATACTCCAGCCCTGAGGTGATGAAAGTCTGGTGGACAGGGCAATTGTCAGACCAAAGGAGGATGTGGAGGAGGCAGGGTGTGACATCTAATTGGATATGGAAATTAAGAGACTTGCCCAATGTCACCCAGCTAGTCATCTGAATCCAGGCGTCCTGATTCCAGAGGCAATGCTCTTTCCTCTGTACCACACAACCTTAATATGTTGTTCACAGATAAGTAAATACGTGAAATAGTCATAGTTATTGGACTTGTGATTTCTTTGGTCTAGGGAATTCCCCAGTGAGGAAACTTCTTTACCAATCCAGTCTATTCTCTCAGCAACTTTATAGCCTTAGAAAGAAGTCTAGAACCCTGAGAATTCAAGAGATTTCTCCAGCATCACAGGCAGTATAAGCCAGGCAGGACTTGAACCCAAGTCTTCCTGGCTTTGAAGCCAATTATCTGGTCGTGACACCATGCCTATATATACACAGGGAATATACAAAATAAATAGACAAGAATTAGGGGCACTCTAACTCCCTGGGTAGAGTCACAAAAGGCTCCTTGGAGGATATTTGTAGGTAGCCCAGTAGACTTGGGGAACAGGAGGACCTGAATTCAAATCCTGCCACAGATACTTTCTGCTGGGCATCACTTCACCTCCGTCTGCCTCAATTTCCCCATCTGCAAAATGGGTACAATAAGAGTATCTCCTTCCCAGGGTTGTTGTGGATCGAATGAGATTTTATAAGGTGCTTTGCAAACCTTAAAGCACTACATAAATGTAAGACTGTCTGTAGTACCTGAACCGAGTCTCGATGGGAGTCAGAGATTCTAAGAGGCTGGACTGTAGAAGGCAGAGTCAGAGGCAGGGTCTGAAACCAGGTCCTCTGACTCTTAATACAGAGCTCTTTCCCCTGCCTATTGGGATTGGGAAAAGAACTATCTACAGCAACCTTACCCATTCCTGTACATTGAGCCAAAAACCTTTTAGTGGTGGAGAACTCACTGCCTACACTCTTCTCCCTATCCCCCACATAAACAGCCCATTCTACTTCCGAAGCACTCTACTGTTTGCCTGTCTAGTGGTGGATAGAGTGCTGGGCCTGAAGGAAGGAAGATTCATGACCCTGCGCAAGTCACCTTACCCTGTTTGCCTCAGTTCCTAGCCAGTAAAATGAGCTGGAGGAGAAAATGGCAGACCGCCCCAGTACCTCTGCCAAGAAAATCTCACATGGGGTCCCGAAGAGTCAGATATAACTGAAACCACAAAAGTAGGCCCTCAGAGAGTTCCCCCAGGCTATGGAAGTCACTACAGGAGGGCAGGCCGGTATTAAGCTCCAACAAACCCTTCTCTAGTGACTCATAGGTTTGGTTTTTTTTTTTTCTTACTCAACTACTCCGGCTCCTCAGTGAAGAGAGTCTACCAACAACCGGCCCCCTCAGGATAGGGAGTCATCCTCCTCCTCCTTTTTCTCTTTCTCCTCCCAGGACTCTTCTCTTTCTGTCTCATGGCTCTAATCTCAGGAGGAACCTGAACCTCTGAATGAGAGACTGACCGAACGGTGGGGTTCCTGTCTGGGGGTCCCTCCAGTCCCCATCCCCACCAAGTGAAGAGATCTCCTCTTCACTCGCATGGCCACTAGCTATTTGACCCACCCTTCAGTTTTCATTGTACCAAGGCTGAAAGCCCAGATATCTGCCTCTAGTTACTGAATGCGGAAGGATCAGTATACTTACTTTCAGTCTTATTGTGCTGGCTGTCCAACTTATCAATCAATCAATCATTCAATACACTTTATTAAGCACCTACTACAAAAAAAAGAAACAAAAGATAGTCCCTGCCCTCAAAGAGCTTATTTCACCAGGGAATGTTGGCCTTGGCTCTTTCTTTGCCCTTGCTGGCAGCTTCCTCCAATACCCATCAAGCTAATTCTTCTGCCTCCCCATCCCAAAGAGAGGACTCCCAGTACACAATCAGGAGGGTTCTTTACAATGAGAAGCCAAACGTTGTCCTGGCGTCTGATCACATGAACCCCCTCAATATTTGCTGGGCTCTTCCCTTCAATCTACCACTAGTGAGACAGAAGGCTATCTTATCTCCGTCCCTGCCTTAAGGAGGGGTGGGTGTGGTCTGAAATGGAGCAGGTCTTATCAGTGGTGAGATCAGGCCTATGAATAGCCTCAGCTTTCCTACCTGAGAAAGTGGAAGGCACATTCTTTAAAAAAAAAAAAAATCACAGGATCAAGAGATGGAATATCATGTATGAGGAACAGCAAGG